TTATGCTAGAAATATCACTTTGACAAATACATGCTCACAGATATATTGAAACTTAATTGATCTATACAGCTGCTCTTAAAGTTTTATCTAGTCATGTAATTTATTTAGCACTCGTTATGAGTATATATATATATGTATTACCTTCATCAGTAAATTGCTTTTCATGGTTCTAATTACTAGATAAAAGAAGAACAATAGCAACATAATTCATGTAAATAGTATGTGAACTATTTAACTAAAAAATTTGAAATACTTCCTTCTGAATTATTTGTGAACACATGATTATATTCAATATATTTTACTGATCTTATTTCTTTCACATTTATGTAACGCAATTGTTTACAGCTGCACCCTGTATATAATTAGATTGCTCCGCCCAGAAAATAGAAAATTTATTTTAACTCCAGTTTATGCCTTTTAGTTTCACTAAAATTAGCATTCATTTATTTAAATGTTCATTGAAATGCTGGAAAAAATGCTGGATTTGCTTGTTGTTGTTTTGGCTGTTGTGGTTGAATCATAGGTGATGTATATCCCATTGTTGGTGATGCTAGAATGATTATATTGAAAATGTTTAAATAAATTATTTTCTTAACAATTTATCATGCAAGTGATATACTAGCCATATATTTTAATTGTAAAATTATCTTGAAAAATAAAATTGTAATCTATGTATATATAGTTTAGTTATAATACTTGTATATGACACTAGGTTATCAAAAGTTTAATGTATTGCTACAAATTTAAAATATGTATGAAATAACTCGACCATTCTTTAAATTATATTAATAAACAATGAATTTTATACATTTTATGAATCACTTACTTATAAGTTTAACTTGATGCTGTGGACTATTTGTAGCCATTTGATTCATTGTGGGTGCAGGTCCTGTTTGTTTTGCTTTACTTCCCATTATATTGTCAAGATCTATGTTCAATCCTGACCCAGCCCATGTAGATCCAACTTGTACAGGCAGACTGCTTGAAATCTGGTATGATGTTTTGGAATTGCTTGTCGTAGGGGTAAGAAGATTTGTAACTGGTGTTAATCCAATGGATCCTAAATGTGACATTCGTTTCAGTTGTAATAATATATTCGTTTTGTTATTACTTTATTGTATTCATTCATGTTTCTTATAATAGCTTAATAATGTGTTAAAAAGGTAAAAATATTTAAAAGTTAATAATATGTAAATTTGTTTATTTAATATAATGAATTTTTCGTTTATTTAACATAAACTATACTAGGGTATTACAATTTTTTGAAAGATCAATCGTTTTAACTTTAGTTATTGTAATTTATATCGCGACAAATAATAAGATAAAATAGAAGAAATACTTGAAAATTCGTACTGAAATTCTCGAAAATAAGTAAGTGTTTTATTAGAGTTTACTATCCTTAGCTAAATGTAGTATCCATAATGGAATTAATCAAAGATATCGCGCTGGCACCTAAGGTTCTACATTCTGTATCATGATCGCCAGTAATTACATTCTGGGATGAATAGAAAAGCCATGATCTTATTTCAATAACAGTATCTAATAGTTCATTTATAACTGTATCTTGTGGTACTGCAATAAGAACAGCTATAATATTTTCTATTACTGCTACTCTAACTTTCGCTTCATTATGATATCGTAGGGTCCATGATACTTCTAACATTTCTTTACCCATTTTAGAAGCTAATAAACAATTTTGTGATGCTACCATTATGGTTGATAATGTTTTCACATATCGAATCAACAGAATATTCTCTTGATCTGTAAATATTTGATTTCCACTACTTAAACAAGTGTTTTGTTTACCAAAACCATACATGAGCGGATAGAAAAACGAAGACGCAACATTTCCAAATTTATTTTCAAATGTTTTAGGAGATTTTGGGCTATGTATATATCTTCTTGTATTTTTTTCAATCCTTTTATCAACAATTTCTCGCCAATCGTACTCAGTTTCATTATTAGATTTTTCAAATTCCTCAAAGTCATCGCTATAAAGTACCTTGTACTGTTGACTTCTTTCAGTATTAATCAACAAAGATACTTTGTTCGAAGTTCCTTTCCTTTTTGGTTTAGATACTATTTCAGGAAAGTTATATTTTTCGGCTTTAATAACTGGAATACTTGATAATCTTCTTGCTGATTCAGCTAATACATCTAAGAAGAATAATCGTTGACTTACAGAATATTTATTCACTTCCATGTAAAACTGTTCACACAGATATTTAGCACATTCTTTAGGATAAATGGTAACTATAGCTATACAAGACTTGAATCGTAATACATCAAAGTCTTTTACATAACTAGATTCTTGAAGGGTAACAAGGAGCTCAAGCAATTCAACAGCAAATGTTACATCATCACCTGGCAGTTGTGCTAATATTAATTCTTCACAGACTTTTAATGATTCTGAAAAAATGTCCGGATTTGTGGAGCTTTTTTCGTTTATTAAATTATCACGTAAATCTCGTAAATAGGCTGGCCGTAGTTTTTCACTCACTTTAGTATCATGAGACATATCGTATGGTACTAAGTCATCGTCACTATCTAAGTCCGAATCAATGTTATTGTGTTTGATTATTTCACTATTTTCTTGAGTTTCTTTATAGGAACTATCTGGTTTTTCACCATTTTCACCATTATCGTCATTAATAGCTTTTATATTCTTTTTAGGTAAGAGATTACATTCTATGCCCAGTTCATACAACTTCATATCACCTAACGTGTCCAATTCAGTATCATCAAGAATTAAGTTATTTACTTCTGCATGTTTCTCTATTTCTGAACTTTCAGTTATTATACCTACTGCTTTTATAGATTGAACCAATTCTATTACCTCAGCGGGCATATTTCCATAATCGAAAGAAAGTTTCGGTGCTTTGTCTGATTTAGATAATTCTTTACTCAAAATTTCACCAATACACATTCCTATTGCTCTTAAAATAATATGTGTATTTTGAAAATGAACTGATACACCAGAAAGTAGCAACATCTGAATATTATCTTTGTCATCCCTACTTAAATAATCCTTTGATTTCCTCAAACACATAACAATCAATTTTGAAATATATTTATGTTGTTCGACAGAAGTATGATTCAAAGCACTTTCGTTGCCCCAAATTTCTATAAGTCTAATTAATAATTCAATAAGAGTACGATCTTGATCTAAAAATTGGGATAAGTATGAAGTCAAATTTATGATTACTTTCTCGTCATCATAGTATGCCATTAATGGAATTTTTTTTGTCAATATATATTTCCAATTTGAATTTGATAGTGCATCTCCAAAAACTGGATATACACCAAATTTTATATCACAGTGCATTAAAAATGATAATGCTATTGGCCCTATACTCAATGTGTCCAATTCCTTCAATATATTCTGTATTAAATTTTGTTCATTATATTTATTTTGAAAACACCATTGCGTTAAAATAGTGATAAGAGGCAACATATTTTCTGGTCTTGCAACGATTACTAATTTACTGATGAGCATTGTTAACAGTTTAGTATCTACATTAATACCATGTCGTAACCCAGTATTTATGAAGGATATTACACGAGATATGTGAAAATTTATAATTTTAAAATATGTTTGAGGAAGAAAAGTGTCCAGTGTTTTGCACTTTAGTTTATTAGCTACCCGATTAGGTAATGAAATTAGAATTTGCACAGTATCGTGCCAGGTTTGATCTAATTCCACTTTTTGCCTTATATTTTTTGGTTTAGATTTGCATGCATCGATTATTCCAGAGAACAAAAAGTCACTTTTTACTAATAATTCTAAAATTATAGTAATTGTATGAATTTTGTTCTCGGCATCGGTATCGTTTAGTGCATCAATTAAAACAGATAAAGTTTCAGCTAAAATTGGTAATGTTGCACCGTCGATAACTATCAATTGTTTAAGTAACGGATCTAATGTATTATTCTGTAATGGCCAACTGGAGTCAAACATTTGGATAATTTCTCCTAAAATTTTTCCATGCAACATACAATCAATTTCTGAGTCAAAATCAAGATTGCTGTATTTTTGTGGCGTGAGTGGGCCTGGTAAGAATTTAATGTATTCAGAAATATTCAATTTCAGTTTTTCCAAACTGTTTTGACTTTTGATTGAACCCATCTGATATAATTCTTCCAAAAGTTGGTTTGTAGCATGGTTTGAAAGACTTTCAGCTGAAGTGGTGCTTTCTTCCGTCTCGAAAGCTGCAATGAAAATTTCTCTTGGGGGCATTATATTATCTTTAAAGATAATCTATTCTTTTAATTTTCAAAGACAAAAACCTTTTTTATAATTACTAATACATGCTAAATTCTTAACTTCATGATTCAGTAATACTCTATATGATTACAATATCTAATATCATTAAAATATCAAATGTATGAAACGATTATTATATCCAAATCAATTAATTTTAATTTTAATTAAATTTGATTAAAAAATGATCTCTGTAATATTGAAATTTTACCTATAATTATCTATAAAGAAAGATCATTAAAATATTTCAACTCTTTTTAAATGCAAAATTTAAAGGTTTGAATTGACTCTCTCTTTCCATAGTTCTACATGTTTTACATTATATGACCTATCAGACCATTGTAAGACTTATGTATACTATCAGAGATACAAAATATATCTTCAAGTATTATTGAATCATAAAATTCGGAATGTCCTGATAATAATTAAACAGTGCTTACCTCCTTGACTAGCTGCAACGGGAGAACTCACATTTGTAAAGAGATTGGAATTATTGATATTATTCAGTTGCCGGTCAACAGGTCCACTTGACATAGAATTTACAGTGTCTAAATCTGATAACAGATCTGTATTTGAAGGCGCTATAAAAAAAATTAAATTAATATTCATGAAGTAAATAAAAAAAAAGAAAATAATTTAAAATTATTCATAACGTACCAGCATTATTATTCAGCATTTGTTGATTATTGAGCACTTGTTGATTTAAACTATCAAACAAATTACTATTCGCATTGGGATTCTGAGGCATTGAATTTGCGGAGCTCGCAGTTGTTATAGGTGCGCTAGCTGACTGCGTATTGATAAACATGGTATTATTGGCGTTATTAATCGCTGAATTATTAATATTTGGTACTGTTGCTCCCATTAAATTCATTTGAGCCTGTGGCAATTGTGATTGTACAGCAGGATTAGATATCGTTACAGATGAGGTAAACGCAGACGTAAAATCCGCAAATTCGTCATTAGTGTCTTTCGTTTTTACAGTAGAGCTTCCAAACGCACTAGTGAAATCTCCAAAATCTGTGTTAGCATTTTGACTTTGTACACCAGGTTGAATGTTCGCTCGTGGATTAAAATCCTCATCTTCATCAACTGTTGTTTTAATATTATTCTCATTTTGAGAGTCAAAAATATCGTTTAAAATATCGTTTTTACTTTTTTGCTTGATAGGTAAAGTTAGGGAGCTATTTTGTAATCCAGATATACCATTCTGTAAATTAATGTAGTTTATAAATATTTCTATTTATTAAAATCTGCAACTAAATTTAATTTCTCCGGTCCAAGATCATTTACTTACATTGGATTGTTCCTTTCCATAATTTGCAGCAGCACCTAGATCTACTTTTTTAATAGTTCGTGGAAATCGTGCTGGTGAAGCATTCGTGGAAGCAGCAGATACAGTATTAATTTTATTAACATGGTCTGAATTTTCCATGGTGTCTCTGTATTCTCTACCACCTCTCTTTGGATTTGGATGAACATCGTTATCTGAATCTTCTCTTTCACCATCATCGCTACAGAAAAAAGAGAATAATATCAGAAAAAGTTAATGAACATAAAAATCTCAACAATTAATACTTTCTTAATTTATGTAGTATACCTGTTATTTGTATCTTCGAAACCTTTACTACGATTTTCTCTATCCCAATCATTGTATGCGTCTATACTACTTTTTCCCCATTTCGGGCTATCTGTCCACCTATCACCACCACCAAATCGCATACCCATCGCTTCACTTGATAATCCCACATATTTATCCTTGTTCTTCTTGGCTTTCTTTCTCTCTTCTCTTAATTTATCATCATCTTGGATGAAGTCAATTAGTTCTCTAACTTTATGTCTTATGTTAATTCCCTGATCTTTCCCAAACTCATCGATACAAGTATAATTTTCTAATGATCTGAGATCATAAATATGTTCTCTAGACGATGTCACCACTCTTTCTGAACCATTGCGTACTAGGTAATTCAAAAGTAAAAGAGACTGCAATAAAGAAAATGATTATTTAAGAACAAGTGAATAATATACAGAAGGAATAGAGAGAGAGAGAGAGAGAGAGAATGGAAATCGTAGTACACTCAAAACGAAAACTCAATATGAAAAAATATAATTTTCGAAATGTAGATTACTTACTCTCTTTTATTGTATTATGCAAATTTTTACACATATTTTGTTTTAATTGTATAATATTTTAAAGGTCTCCTATAGATATATTTGTTATTTGACTTTTTAAACAATGCTTTACCTACATACATGTTACGTTACTCTACCCACATTACTATAAATGTTTATATACATTAGGATTGACAGAAGCAATAAAGAAAGCAAAGTAATATTTAATGATTTTTCAAAACTGATTTTTTCGAAAATAAAGTCATAAATAAAAAAATTTCATATCACAATTTTTAATGATATTTTTACTCTGTTTCAATAGTATTACAATTTCCATTCTGTATGAACAAATTAAAATGAAATTTAACGTTTAATACGGTACACGTTATATTACAATCAATTTACGTAATGAATTATTTTACAATATAACTAAATGTATATACATAGACTACAAACAAGCATACCTTGTAAGTTCGACGCCAATTTCGTTTTTCTTGCAACATCCGTTTCCACAACATGGACATTACGTCGGGAAATTGCTCGTATGTGAATGTAGCCTGAGCCAGTTCTTGCATCATTGCCCCTGAAGTATTGCAAGCAACACAATTAATTTCACCATACATCGAACTGGATAAAAGTGCAAGGGTGTAGACCAACATTATTATAAATGCACTCTTTTAATTAGAATATGAAACTTAGTACTGTATACGACTTCAATTAAAATAAGTATTCATTTCACGCAAAACGAATTGTTGCCTTTCGAAAGTAAAATTCATACCTGTAGGACCCCACGCATCATCGTTTGTTGCTTCTCGAACTTTGGCCTCTGTTTCCGTATAATTCATTACCACATTGGTCCTGTAAAATTATATTTTATTTCGTTAACAAGTTGCAATAATTACAGCTTTCAATTATCAGTGAAACTGTGGAGAACAACGTATATGCCGCTGCTAATGACTTCGATGTAAAATTACTTTCACTGTTTGCGTGCAGACAGTACAAACACCTGCTAATTGCGCAATAATTTTACGCCTCTGCTCGAACAGAATACTTTTATACGTTCAATTTCCAGTACCGCTCGCTGGAAACTATCTTTATACAATTTTGTTTTCGATCCCATCGTTTTATTACAAGGACAAAATTTATTATTATCGTAATAGGGTTTGCTCGATATCCCTGCATATGTAAGGAAATTATCCCCAATATGAAACCACATCTAAAACAGGTCAAACCCCCATATTCCGGTCACTGGTTCCATTAAAATTGCACATGGTATATTTATATCACATACAAGCTATTTCTGTAATGCGTGATCAAATTGCATTAAACTACCTGGTATTCCATATCGATATAAAAGTAATTTCAATGACTACACACTTTTCGAGTTTTCATTAAAAAAAAAAAAGAAAAAACAAAATTTGTTCAAGTTGGATAGAGCGGTCAATAGAGAAAAAACATAAACAATAGTCACTTTTATCAATATTTTATCTCAAGTTGTTTGTATCCTGAAAGCAAATCAAAAAATATCAAATACAGTTTTCAGATTTATCAGTTTATTCGCAGTAAATTCTTTCCCTTAACATACATGCGCGATCAAATAATTTCTCGAAAGGTCATTGATACATCTAATCGATGTGTAAATATTTGTAATAAAAAGGGGAAACTCAGCCGATATTTTCAAGGCTCTTCTCTCGTAGTTAACAAATGATTTTTCAAATGATTTTACTAATAGAACAAACGCCTTGAAATCTTATTCGTGTTTTTATGGCAAACCAACAGCAATATGATTACAAAAACGTGCGAGAAAAGATGTACTATGTACCATGAAGCACCATAGCAACATCACGTATCGTATCGGAATATCGTATGTATGTACTTCACAGTAGTCGGACGCAGTGCTACACCTGTCGTTCTGTTCAACAGTAACAATTGTCACGTATCGGTACGAAGTGAATGCATGGAAAACATGAAACTTACATTCTGTCGCATAATACCTTTATGGACACCTGCCTATCCCTCTCCTATTTAAATGAAGCTTGTAACATAGAAGTGAAGTGAACACGAATGATCACGAATGTATTTTAGGTGTCTTCTTTCCAAAACGAATCGTAATCAAGTACACAAATAAGCAAATTTGTAAGATTTTTGTGCATTTATTAGCAAATTAATGGAATTCAAAATAACGTTTATATTAATAAAAACGAATAATATATGTATTCTGTTTTGGAAGATATAAATTTACGTAATTTAATAGTATAAAAAGGTCAAACATTCGTATCATTCCTATTTAAATGAAGCTTGTAACATAGAAGTGAAGTGAACACGAATGATCACGAACGTATTTCAGGTGTCTTCTTTCCAAAACGAATCATAATCAAGCACACAAATAAGCACATTTGTAAGATTTTTGTGCATTTATTAGCAAATTAATGGAATTCAAAATAACGTTTATATTAATAAAAACGAATAATATATGTATTCTGTTTTGGAAGATATAAATTTACGTAATTTAATAGTATAAAAAGGTCAAACATTCGTATCATTCCTATTTAAATGAAGCTTGTAACATAGAAGTGAAGTGAACACGAATGATCACGAACGTATTTCAGGTGTCTTCTTTCCAAAACGAATCATAATCAAGCACACAAATAAGCACATTTGTAAGATTTTTGTGCATTTATTAGCAAATTAATGGAATTCAAAATAACGTTTATATTAATAAAAACGAATAATATATGTATTCTGTTTTGGAAGATATAAATTTACGTAATTTAATAGTATAAAAAGGTCAAACATTCGTATTATGCAAACAGTTTTGCATTCACTGTTGCCCGAATTGCTTTAAATGGTTGGTCATGGTCAAATAAATAATGAATGGTAACATTCCCTTTTCAGTTTCCAAAGAATCGTATCGCTTACGTTCAAGGTCTTATGTAGCAGGCATATCGAGTACAACACACGGGACCTACAAAAAACTTAGAGCCTACGAACAACAAATTTAAGGACGTATAAAACTAAATGTGTTTTAAGTTTACAAATGCAACAGACTACGGTAAACAGAATTTTTATCTATAAAATCGGATAAATTGTCTGGTCATGGCGTAAGATAGCGTCAGAATTTTCAAGAAAATATTTCATAAATAGTAGTTCCAAAACCGTTTGTTCTACATTGTTGAAAAAGAATGAAGACATAAATATTTAGCAGTTATAGATAAAAACGTTGGTAATTCCCTTCCTTCAAAGATAATGCAGAACGGCAAACCGAGATAAGTTTATACATACGTAAAATCCGCAATAACACTTCGGTTTTGACGGTTATACTTTATAAGGCCTTATCACAAGATATTCATAAATAATTTTAGGATCACATCTTGCTCAAATTTATCTTCTTCGAATAAGTTTCTGATAAGAAACGACATTTTGACATCGATTCTCGGCATCAGTTTCGAAATGACGTGTTTCGCTAAAGGTAAAAGCATTGCTCCTCAAATACATATTATATTACCGCTTGGAAATATTTAACCAAGATAAAAAAACATCTTTATCTGTTTTGTGTAAAAAGATATACGAATAGAATGTAAACGTGAGCGTGTGTAACTTAATGATAATAATAATAATTATTATTATTAAGATTACTGTGAGTGTATAATATTGGATTCTACATACAAGAAAACATTAAGGCGTAAGTAACGTATGTATATAATTCAGGTTTCCTTTTTATAGGTTATACGTTGATTACTGTTACAAAAATAAATATCTTATACGAAAAAAACCAGCGTTGTAATAAATCACCTCTTTATTGGACACTATGAATATTTAACAAATTATACGAAGTGAATGTATTCGTAAAAAAAAAAGGTTATCTGAACAATCTATGCAATTCATATTTACAGGAAACATAACTGACTAAGTACATAATTTACAATAAAATTGCTTACAATCACATATAGTCAATCAATGATAGAGTTATGCAGCAATTAGCAAGAGCTTAAAAATATAATCGCTCGTGGGAACCTCCTATCAATTAAAATAACAATTGTGGTTTGAATCAGGGTCTTCGCATGGTCGTCTGTGGATTGGATTTGTATTCAGAAAGCCCTGTTTGAGATAATGGTGCTCTTCCGCTTCTCAGTTTCCACGGATCGTAAAGAACCTCACATTTCCGATCGTAACTACGATAAAACCTATGACTATCATTTTAACCAAATAATATAAGTAAATGATAATCGTATATTTTATAACAATGTCCTGACGTCGTGTAGACATTAATAAAAAGAGATCAACGGATTTGCAGTAACGAATAGTATAGGCAAGACTGGTGTTTGAGAACCGCTATTTAACGCAACACTACACCATACACGCATACACGGTGTATGTGCAAGAACCGGTGCCGTCACTACACTAAGCATATCCTATGATTATGCACAAAAAAGGAAGGCCAAACGTTCATCGAAACGTGACATTCTTTTCGCTTTCAATTTTCATGAATATTTTTCCCGCGCATCACTCGCAATCGGAACTCCGTGAAAGTATAATTTAATGGCAAGCGTGGAAATCGCGCAAGAATGCATTACGTCCTTCCATATGTGAATTGAAAAATATAAACAAAGTAATCGATTAAGTAAAAATCCCAGAATCCTCTTCGACAATTGTTTTGTTACAAACTATTACGTAATAATGGTTTTAATGTTTTACGTATTGCTACAAATACGTCCTCATAATTACTAAGAAAATATCACACGTTTCCGAACTTCCGGTTTCTTTTACCAATACGTACTGTACAATCGTGTCGAAATGTTTTTATTAAAGAAAACAGCTATTACGTCAATATAATCCATTTTATTACTTCTTACGTCTTCGATGTTCTCTGAATTAGCAATCTTACGTAGTGTAGAAAATAACCTGTTTTTAAACTTGTTAAGCAACTTGTCTGTTTGTTTTAATTCTTTTCATAGGCAATTTACTTTTTGTTGTTGCCGTGTTCCATTTGACAAGAGAATGAATTTAATTTCGTTGCAAATATGGCAAAAACACACTTCTTCGCTTATTTTCTAAAAGCTCTTGATAAATATTGTTTGTTAATTAATAGCCGAAGAAATTGTTGTTAATAATATGTAACTGACAAACAACTTGACTTTTGAAGTATAGCAGAAATGGTAAATAATAAAAGGAAATGACGAGATAGATATGAATATGTGAATGATAATAAACAGACTGTCGCTAATAAAATGTACAGTAAAAAGAATATCTAAATTACTTTATCTTTTAACAGCAGCACGACATTGCTTGATACCATATAAAAAGAAGTTCCCTGTTATCTGACCCAGAAATTTATACTCGATCGAATAATTATCTGTCGATAATTTGTTCAACTAATGAGATTACATATATGTATAATCATTATAGAAATTCTTCTGAAAAATCTCTACAGGAATAAGTTCATAAAAACCTTGAATTATTTAGATTTTTACTAAATGCAAAAAGTAAACTTCCAGTATGAGATCGCAAAGGCGTAAAGTGACTTATCAAATAATTTAGAGAAGGTAACCAACAACGAACTCACAAGACAAATCGTGCAGCATATTAGTGCAAGTAGAGTGGAGTGCGTCGAAAAAAAGTAAAAGCAAGGTTAGATCGCGTGTAACTGACTTAATCATACTTACGCCTTATCCATTAACTCCCGTACTTTCCACATGTTCATCATTGTGCTTCACACTTTTCACCAAACGTAATATGCGATTACCACGAGAAAACTACGGAACTTGCACCGATAAATGTTCACCAGATGTTTTTGGGAGCATTTGATTTCGCGACGGCGACGGCGAACGAACGTCACCAGGCGGTAGCCATGTTATCCCTTCCACGTTCTATTAAACTAATAATCGTCACAGGTGTTTTAAGTCTGCCAACCTCACTTTTTGTTATCACAAGTATTCTTATCAAATTTTTTATTAGCTTTCCACGGCGGGTATTGCGCGGTGCCTAAATACCAAAATGTACATAGAATCGTTCAGATAGTCGGGATAAATTGGTTGCAATTCAATCCGATGAAGCTCAGAATGCGTTCACCTTTATAAAACTAAGTCATATTAATATTACCCAGTCAGTTGTCAAGCAAATTATGTCACGCTTGCACTTATTGTTAGTTATTTAAAAATGAGACTGTCATTCTTTGCATTCGGTATGTTTACGTTGTATTTAAATATAACATACATTTGAATTGCTGCCAACTGATTATTTAAAAACTGACGACAAGGATTCATACTTCATGTTTCATATTGTTTAAAATCATACAGTAGATTAAAAATTTATAGTAAATTTATAATAAATTCAAGTTTATTTATTAAATAGAGTGTTTGATGTTTGGTAACTAATCCCTTAAATATTTTTGTATTCTTCATTACATATGTACATAACTTTTAACTTTACATATGTATTTGTTTAGTATCAATAATTTCTCAAATAACTAGAATTGAAAATGATTGGAAATAAGTAAAATGCAAATCTATTGTTATTTAGACATTGTTACTTAACAATCGTACATACATAATTCCACGAACTAAATATCAATTAGAAAGTTATTTTTATTATGTTAAATACAATAAGATGCTGTAGTACTGTCTGCCGATAAGGAAAATTTTGTGACACGGAAAAAGGCAAGAGTTATTCCTTGCATATCCTGATTAATTAAGATTATTATTTCAATTGACAACAAAAATACATACATCTAACAACTAACTAACTAGTAGCTCATAATAAAACCCGAACATTTACATTTTTACATTTCATGAAGCGATCCATAATCTAAGGAACAGATTTAAACGAAATATAAAATATTGTTCGAATTTGTATCAATTCATCAAAAACAAAATTAAAATTTGTTTATATCAAAAACATTAAGATTTCAAAATAGAAGTTTTAAAAGTGTTGGAAATTACATAACCTCAAACTGAAACTCGGACAATTGGTAATACTGTTCGTTCACACAACGTAGGGAATCCCCAATTCATGTTGCTGCACGATAGTACATACATATTGTACTTGTGTATGCATATTACATTAAATTGAATGAGTTCTGAAGTGACGTTACTGATGAGTTTATTTATCGGTACATGTCCACTGACCCTTTTCTTTCTACAACATGTGCATATAAAAAATGCTGCAGTTTCAAACTTCTACAGAAAAAGTTTGTTTCCAAATATTCCCAACTGTTTCCAATCTACGGTCTGTGTCCATGCTGTGGCTCTGTTACAAAGAGCACTTTCTCTGTCACTGACTGAAGTTTACACTCTATGTCGACTATATAATCTATGATTTATAATGTCGTTAATAATTTGGTGGTAAATATCAGACAGTTGAATTCATGGATGTTCATGGATTCAGTTGGATTGATTGAACGATCGTTTTGATCAATTATGAATGAATGAAAGTAGTATTGTCACATCATTTATGTCGTACATTAACGAATTATTTTGATTACTGTACACAGAATGAAGTATATTTGTGATTTTATGAATATAATGGGTATAGTAATAGTGAAATTGTTCAGACAAAGTGGAAATAACCGCCGTTAACAAAATTGTAACGAGCGTGCGTGTGAGATTCAAATATGTTAAAGCGTGTTTAAGCTGTTGTTATATTAATTTATACAATGGAAGATTTTAATGACAATGTAGACGGTAAATTAGCTTTTAGGATGAGAAAAGTTAATCCGGAACAATTTCACACACTTGTCAAAATGCATCTATCTTTTGAATTGGATCTCAATACGGAAGAGTGAGTTGATAATTTTTACTAAAATTTTATACACAATGTTAGTTCGTAATTTGATTTATTCACTATAAAACTAGCACTTTAAAGTACAAAATCAATTGTTCAATTGTGTAGCAATGACTGCATTAATGAAAAAGCAAAGTTAAAAAGATGGGGTCTTCTGGGCTTTGCAAAGAAACCTAAGTCAACAATTAATTTACAAAAGGGTATAGAAGGGGCCAACTTAACCGAAGATGGAATTAATCAAGTAAAACAATTAATAGAGTATTTATCCAAAGAACAAAGTAAGTATAGGTTTGATCAATTTTCTTAAAATTTACTTGATTATTACTTATACGTATTAATGACTATAATAACTTTAAAGATATTATACAAGAGGGCATATTTCGGCGTACTGGTAAATTAACAAGACAACAAGATTTGAAAAGCACAATGTATCAAGGTATTTCGTTAAGTCTCAATGATGGCCAATATAGTGTTCACGATTGTGCATCTGTATTAAAAGGATTTTTAGCAGAATTACCAGAACCTTTGCTATCAGATTTACATTACCCTGCACACTGTCAAATTGCTGGTAAATTTATAAAATTACGTAGATCCCTAATTTTTCTTCCTTAAGGCATATAATACCTTTAGTTATTATTTTTAGAGCTGACTTATATTTTTTATATTTTAGAATTGTATGGTTCTGACACAAGAAGCAATGATGCAAGATTATTAAGGTCTCTCCAGTTGCTTTTATTACTTTTACCATGTATGAACAGAATATTACTCAAATATGTTTTAACACTCCTTAACAAAACAGCTAGTTTTGAATGTAATAACAAAATGAATTGTGATACACTGGCTACACTTTTCACTCCACATTTAATGTGTCCAAGAAAGTTATCACCAGAGGCTTTGCATATTAATTCTCAAAATTTGTCATGTTTAGTTGCCTTTATGATTAGAAAAGGAATTGAATTATTTGAAATTCCACCAAAACTAGCTACAGACATTAGAGCATACTGGGTAGAACAGGAAAGAAAATTATTGAGCCCTAAAAATAGTGATGTGAGTAAGGTTTTCTAAGTTAAATAATCACAATTAACATTTTATAGTACTTAAGTGTAATTTATTTAAATATGTATGATTACAGTTGAATGAATCAATACCAGATACAACAGGTACAGCCCATACTGTATTTAGTTTTGTAGATCACAAGTTAACAGCAAAAGCAAATTCTACTCAAGATACTCAAGCAGCTTTAGCACAGCTTTATGCTCATATACAAGCTATGCCAGAATCAGCTAAAAAACGCAGATTAGTAAAACAGTTTAATAAAGAGAATGGTCAAGGTACACCAAGACAGGTTAAAAATTGTAGGACTAAGAGTCTTGGGGACTCCATCAAGAAGCATATTTTTCAAAAAAAGATTTTGGGGCATAAAAAATTCATTGATATTAATATCAGTTGCAGTATCACTAGATCTAGCAGTGAAGAAAATATACTTTCATCGGTAAGATTGAAAATAATACTTTTTACAATGAATGTTAATTTCATTTTTAACAGCATGATTGTGCTTACAATCACAATTTTTAACTAACATTTTATTTGCATACTTGTTCTTATATAGAATGTAGAAAGATCAATAATCGAGAGAAAGGTTCTCTTCAGTAAATCAGACGATGAACTTAGCATGGACAACTGTGATATGAGCAATGACAGTAGCCTTCTCCATACTAAACATATTAGTAATAGTACTGGTAGCCTCAATACTCCTACATTGAGAAATTACAAAGACAAGAGAAAGGCTATGTTTATTAAATTCGCAGATATAAAAGAAGAGAAATCAGATGAAAGATATCACAATTGGAGTCTAAATAATTCGGTTAAAAAATGTGAACGAAATTCTTGCGCAAATGATTCCATATTTTCCAATATAGGTGATGAAACCACATCTTTTCATGAAGAGCAATTTAAAATTGACAATTCGAGATGCGATAGTAATACTGTAACTAATATTGTTAGATTATCTAGACAATTAAGTGAACCACCAGACATGTATTCTTCTCAAAGTACTCTATATGAAACTAGAGAAAATGAATTAGTAAGACAAAATTCAGAACCTACATTATCAATATCCAAGACAACCAATGTAGATGTGATTTCTTCTAAGTATTTTGAGGACAACAAAAAGCCATTAGAACATTCCAAAATAGAATTACATCCTGATAATGCACGTGTTCATTTATCTCCCATAGTTAAAAATAGACTTTGGAATATATATGGTACTCATACATCAACACCATCAAATCTACTGCGTAAAAGCCTGGCCACTAATGATTATATGTTAACTCCTATTACTAACAACGATAAAAGCATGAGTCCAATTACACAAAGTGCCACTAAAATGACAAAAGCTATGCAGGTATGTATTTGTTCTGACAATTTTACAACTTTTTTTTTTATAGAGTACTTTTTTACTATATACATGATAATATGAAATTTTATGTATGAAAAATGATATGAAGAGATTAAAACTATTTTCCATAATGATTTTAGGAAACAATGATGACACCTCGATCTAGAAAACCAGTAATGATGGTTTCAGGCTCCAACCTCTGCAATCTTGCCACCATTAATAATAGTTGTAATCAACATAATTTATCTAATAATATACGTAGCTCGAATCTTGATGTGATTGAATCACTAAATTGTACTTCAATTCTGGAAGAATCTCACAAACGTAATAGCGAAGACAGTGAAATTATTTATAAAAAGAACATTGATTTGGAAGATAAAGAAAACATTGGTAAATATATGGATGAGGAACAGAAATTTCTTACATCCACTATTGACGATTGTTGCGCAGTTACCCAACAAAGTATAATGTCTATAACAAGTACCTTTAGAGAGTATTTGTTGTCCAGAAGTGTTTTGACTGCCAGTCCCGTTGATCTTAGTTTTACCTCGCGAACAGGAGATTTTGAACAATCAGAATCTGACGTAAATATTTTAAATGATGACGGTCTTTCCGATAGTTTACTTTGTTGCCTAAATGGAAATACTCCAGAATCTGACACATCTGGTATTGCATCTGGAAGCACTAATAGTGCAAGTAATTCCTCAGAAAAAAATGATGAAGTTGGAAATTCACCAAGGAAACGGGCAACGAGTTTACAGCGAAATGATTCTAAACGATCGATTAAGGAAAACAGAGTAATAAAAAGCATACGAGGACAAGGTTTTAAACACAAACAATTGAGCGAATCAACACTAAATTCGATAAAAGTAAAAGATACGTTTCAGGAGACTTCATTTTAATGCGTAGATTGACACATTTAAAGTATAAATGGGAATCAACATATTACAATGCTGAAGTGTTAATGATACGTTAAGTTTTATATCAGTATACAAAAATATAATTTTTCATTATACATATCGATGATGGTTTACATGGTAAAGAGAAAATTGACAATACTTAATATTACTCGAATTTATAATACTGACAGATTTATTTACCAATGGTATTTAAAAATAAAATATCTAAGATATGAATGAGTGTGTGAGTTTATGTCCGAATATGTTTGTACATTCAGCAAGAAAAAAACGATGTTACGTGATATACAATAATTCATCACATTCAAGTGGCGACATTTTTCTACTAAAAATTGATACATTTATTTTATATTCTACTCAGAAGTTTATATATGTATATTTTGTTAAATTATCAATTTATAAATAAACTTTCGTATAAGAATAAACTTTTTATTTAGTGATGTAACCATTTTTCATGTAGTTTCATTATAGCTTTTTATAAACTTCACTTTTATTATATGTATTTGATGTACTATTATTTTCCATACTTTTTTTATGAAACTTATTTTCCATACTTTTTATTTAATGAAACTACATGCTAAATGCTGGCACTTTCGACTTTCGAAAAACAGTTGTAAAAACAATTTTTGAATTAGATCAAAATTGATTTAGAAAGGTGGATCGCAAAAATTGGCATGCATCGCAAACTTTAGGACCCTGCATGTTTTGAACAAATTAAAAATTAGCAAAATGATGACTTAACCCCTTCCCCTAATATCACATGGGCTACATCATATTTCAGTTTGAATAAAATCTCAAACATTCAGAGAAAAAAAGTGATCGATTTGGTGTAGAATGACCCTGTAACTATGCGGTATCAGAGGCTACTTCACAAGTGATGCCTCTCGCGCAGTTTTGCGATCATGTGCCTTTTTCCACCGTCAACCCCCATGCTAGTCACATATAAATAATAATAATACTGTAATTATCTAACTTTTATGTTATATGATATTTATCATAAATGATTGTTATCAACAAATAATTAATATTTTATATATTCATTCATTAATAAATTAATCCATTTTAAAAGCTTCTCTATCTTAAATATATTCCTTATTATCTTAATATATTCCTTAAATATATTTATACGAATATTCTTTTTAGGCAAAGTAATCAATAACCAATTAATAACAGAAGATAGAGCTCAACCTGATGTAATGTTATGTTGAGACATGGTAAAGCTGCTATAGAAAGGAAAATTGTAGTAGCTTTTACATTTTATACTTCTAAAAATACAAATTACTTAAGTGGTATAAACGTGAGGAATGTGTAGCACCAATACTGGGTCTACCATGTTTTATAGGTTTGTAAGTAACAGAAAATTCTCCCAAGTAATGATCAATCATTTCTGGTTTCATTTCCACCTCATTGAATGCTTTGCTATTATATACATCAACAATAGATCCACAACCATTTCTGGTACAATAATCATATTACGCAGATGGGTCTTGACAATCTCTGGTTTTTCATTTGGCGGTGTTTCCTTCTTTGCCTTACGCAGCTTCTTCACGAGAGCTATAGACTTGCGTTTCATACCATGGTCAAATTGTCTTCGAGCACGAGCATGCATCAAAACCATAAGTTGCTCACTGTAAATAAGTAATTGTGTTTACTGCATGAACAATAAAAATGTGTAACAGCTATTGTTGGACTTATAATTTATGTTAATTCTAATTTATATGAAACACAGTACCCACTTTGGCATATCCAAGAGTTGATCAAGGTCAATTCCTCGAAAGGTGAACTTTCGAAAAGTTCTCTTCTTCTTTTGAGTTTCTTCTTGCTGAAATTCATACATAATAATATGAGAGGTTCTGTACAAGAATGAGAATAAAGCTTTATCTTATACAATAATACTGCTTCCCTTAGTAAGAGGAAGAATACATGGATTGTATTAATGTAATTTTTTGTAGTTTTTATAACAAATGAAAATGATTCTAATCAATAGTTTTAACGTATCTGTAATAAGTACCTCTGCCATGTTTTCGACAATAAATCAATCGACGTCGTACACCAATTCTTCAATTAATCGTAAAAATCACTACATGAAGCATCAAACTACAGTAATCCCTCAATTCAAGCACATGCGGTGGCACAGCTCTCAGGCACCTGACTGTTCCTGGAATTTCCATTCAAGACCAGTCTGTCCATTGGTGTCTAGTGTGTCCAATGGTTCTGTTCAGAACGGACAGGAGTCGCCTCACAAATGTGATTGGAAAGTTTCGATAAATTGCCAATGGAAATCCATTGGTAACATCCAATCTCATTTGTGATGGGTAATTCTCTCACGCCTACTTTCCTGGAAAAGAATCGTAAAGCGGAAGAGAGGATGAAAGGAGAAGGATGTAAAATTAGTAACTAATGTTTATATGATATAGTAGGTATATTATTACTTTATTTTATAGCTTTAACTTTAAGGAATTTTGACTCATTGTACTAGTTAAATAAAAAAAAAATTACCTGTTAAGAAGGATACAAATTGGTCCTTACATGCAGCTCTTCTTTCCCACTAGTCAAGCCAAACAATTGCTTGTTGATAATCTGAGAAGTGAAAAATTGCGATATCAAAAATAACATAAAAATGTAATATAATTATAATAAATGACCCGAATGTACGGTTCGGGTCGGGTCTCGAAAATTCGCGAAGTTCGGATACCCGAATCCTTATTCAAGTCGGACAGTTATCGTGTATACATATAAAAAGAATATCAAAACGTAATTTTTGTCTTATTGTTTCAAAATTTGATATTTTCGTACTTTATGTAAGTAAAACATATCTTTTAAAAAATCATAAACATCCATGTTTACGTTTTGATATTCTTTTCATTTACACGATAACTGTCCGATTCAAGTAAAAATTCAGGTGCCCGAACTTCGTGAATTTTTGGGACCCGATATATAGGGTCCCAAAAATGTCTCGCAATCCGAAAGTGGCGGGTTCCTCAGGTCATTTGAAGCAACTTTTTCCTTTACAAAGATTTTTTTCGAGGTACCATTAACGAGTTATTAACGAAAAACAGTGACCAATGAAAGGCGAGTTCAGCTGGCGCGAGGCGACCGAGCCAACGGCGCCAGCGGTCGAGGCGACCGGGCCAACGGCGCCAGCGGTCGAGGAGGTCGAATCCCAGCTCAGCTGGCGCGAGGCGACCGAGCCAATGAGCGGAACTGGGCTTCGTGCGCTGGTTGGCTGGGCCGCCTCACGTCAGCCGTACTCGATTCTTATTGGTCACTGTTTTTCGTTAATAACTCATTAACGGTGCCTCGGAGAAAATTTTTGTAAAGGAAAAAGTTGCTTCAAATGATCTGAGGAATCCGCCATTTCCGGATTGCGAGACATTTTTGGGACACCCTGTATGTAACTCTCAGGTACATGAACTTTATGAACTTTCGGAACCCGACTCGGCTCGACTAGAAAGTTGGGTACCTAAGGTTTTTGCGGGACATCCTGTATATTTCAAAATAATTGAAAAGCTCATAACCTCGCTCAACTAAAAACTTTTTATATGAATCCTTCAATTGTATCGATGTTAAAGCACTAAATATAATAATGTGACTCACATGAATGGGCACTGATATTGCAGCTCAATCAAATACAGAAAACGCTATAAATTCTTGCAACAATTACGTATGTCCAAAAAACACGTAGGTATTGCAGAAAAACAAAACTATTCCTGAATGTGTTTAAAAAAAAGGAAATGACTAAAATGGCGTCAGCGATGGTTTAACAATAAATCAGAGGATATGCCTGGAAACATAAGTTCATAAGAGAAATTTATTTATTTAAATTCATAGTAAAAGTAAATTCTTGAACAGTGGTGGTCTGCAATGTTCTGTATTGGAATTGGATGATTTCAATGGAATCTATTGGCAATCCATTGGAATCGTCAAATCCTATTCGTGAAGTCTCCTTTCCGCCACTCGGAGCAGATTCTGAGCAGAATCCCTATCATTAGACACCACTTCAAGACCAGGACCTGGTCTTGAGTAGAAACTCCAGGAACGGCTGGTAACCTGAGAACGGGCAAGCTAATTCCGAAAAAGAAATTGTTTTGATCTGATTGGCTCACGATTCACAGCTGAACAGTGTTGCTCTTATAGCCTAAAATAAAGAGAACAAATGGCGAGTGAGCAAAAGAGCACACCACATCAGCACAATTCCGATACGGGTCCGTGGATCTGGGGATGGGGACAATAGCAGGATCAGTGTTCACGGAGAAATAAGTTACGCAAGGAGTGGAGCGCAGACGCATTCGCCGGGAGTTCCGCACAGCGGCGTAACACATTTACCGGGTGAAAATTATAATTCTGAACTACGATCAGTGGATTAGACAGAGGCTCTACGTCGCGTCACGAACGTAATTCAGAATTATAATGTTCACCTACTAGATACGCCACCTACTAAACGCTTGTACCCACTCCTTGTGTAACTTATTTCTCCGTGAACACTGGTGGGGACTGCTTTTCGTAGCCCTCTGTCCATAGAATTAGAAAGCTTAGTCGAAGAAGATATGTACATATGTAGTTATTCTATCTACATGTTTTTAGGTTGCTGTGACGAACGTAGATCATGAGTAAAAACAGCAAAAAGGTAATGGCGGATATTCTTTAGACGATCACCAAATTTATGATGAAAAATTTTGGAAAAATGTGATCAAAGCTTCGTGTTCAACGAGAAGATATTCGAGGTACGTGCCGGCCGTTTTCTCGTTGAATCCGTGACTGCAATGTTTTCGCTCAACTCTGTACATCCCAAAGGATGCCACATGCAACCACATGTGGATTTGGAATTAACGAACAGTTTATTAGAAAAATATAACTAACTGTGGAATGTAATTTGACTTGCACTTTCATGCTTTTGATATACCTGATATTGAACGACGACCAAGAGACATTTAAAATGCATTATAAAATTTACATTCTGTCATTTTTCGATTTGTGCCGATTCCTTTTGGAATTGAAACATACGAAAACTTGTGAAAAATTATATGTATCTATACATAAATATTAAATTTGATTAAAAAATTTTATTTATAATGATTAGTGCTGTCTATCTTATAGTTATGTATGTCAAAAATACATAATTACGTGAGCTACTATAGAAAAATGTTTGGATTTTCTATCAACAAACTTCGGTGTTAGCCTATTTGAATTGTTTGTATGTTTATAAAACAAATTTTGAGTGCTTGTTCAATATTCGTTAATTTGTTTATTCTATATTTCTTTAAGCGAGAGATAATATTATTATCAAATATTGTAACATATTTATAAATAATTTTAAGTGATTATGTTAATTTTTATTTTCACTTTACTTTTCGTTCCTTTATTTTAATTGTTATATTATTATTTAAAATAAATTATTTTTATTTGAAACTGTGTTTGTTTTTTTAATTTACACATTTATTCCCATTCTTTATATGTTTACACTGTTATACAGTATGTGTTTGTAATCAGCTTTCCACATATTCTTGGACAATATTGAATGGATCTCTCTAGGTGTGGCGTAAGGAAGAGGGGTGGTATTGCCTGCAAGAATAGAAATGGCACACAGTATGTGCACACAATGGCAAATAAACAAATGGAGCAATTCTTAGATTCAATGTGTAACGAATGGTGGTTGATAGTGGAGCAATTAGAGAAGATCGTCGGCAGGCAGGAAGGAGTAAGCAATCGAGTGTACTTGAGTAATGAGCGAGACTCGGCATCATCTTCACTCGGTCTCGGACTTATATGCAGCCGACGAGATAGAAGTACTTCTCTTAGAAGAGATTCGTGACCTGGAGCTACCAGCTTCTGCATACTCTAGACCTGAAGATATTCAGGACTTCGAAATTGGTACGATGATAGTGAAATGAATGGCAATTAACGAATGTCTTGAAACTCTAATGTGATATTAGGTTTTACTTCCAATATTTGAAAGGCATAGTTTTTAATTAACTTTTTAATTAATTCAACATTTTTGGGCAGAGTATGAATATGTACATTTTCTGATATTGTATTAATAGCAGGCAGTCGGTCAGGGGGGCAAATTAGCTCCCAACCTTTGGAACTGGATTCACCAGGGGTTCATTCATGGGATTCACATGCTAATTATCACGGCTATGGTTATGGTGATTACCATGGCTCTTCCTCTAATGCTTTGGCTTGGCCAAGAGCGAGTCATTTGGTTCTTTATTGTGACATACAGGGACATCTTAAAACAGCTATTGGAGTTGTTAGACTCTTACTGCTTGTACGTAGCATCTTTATTATTATTTTTCTGTTTATCAATCATCGATACATCATTAATGTTATAACATTTCAACAGATATCTTCTGCAGCATGTCTGGCAACACTGTGCAGTTCTGGTACTGCCAAGGTCAGTTTGTTTATGCTGCCTTTAGTTGGACGGCTACGTTTCATGATCTTTGTAGCTGTTTTCTGTTTTCTGGTCACTGCATTACTCCTCTTCCTTGATATTTCACACGTTGTCTATGTTTTTCCTCTCAACTGGGCTAAATTGGTAAGTAAGCAATACTTTGTTTTACAAATCCTTCTGTTGATGGTAATATTATGTAATCAAATTTGTAATTTTCTATTACAAATTATTAGTATCTTCCAATCTTAATTAATATATCTGATAGAATCCACCTCTTATAGAATGCTTGGGTATTCACTGGTATAGGCTTATCTTATGCCTTGAGTAGCGCATTACTAGCATGCTCTATATGGGAATATCACAGTGGAGGCTGGGTACCACGACGCACTCGTTCTCAGTTATCTGCTGCAGCAGCACTTGGATTGTCTTGTGCTATCTTAGCATTTTTACTTTCATGGATACATAGTCGCAGTGGATCTAGTTGTAGGGGTCCAGATAGCCATAATCATACCCCAACACAACTTTATAAACCTGTTGACAATTCCTCTTCTTCTGGAGTAAGTAGTTTTACTTTTTGTATTGTTTTGCTCAGACAGTTATAAATACAATAATATAATTCTATAGGTTACTCTTAAAGAACGTAGTCCTAAGAGACCTGCTTCATGGAAAACTCAACAATCAAGGAAGCAGACTGCAGACAGTGACACAAATACAAACAATGGTCACCACAGCAATGATAATCATTCAAAGTACAAGCAAGGTGCTAGTAGGAAAGATCATTGGGCTTCTGCAAGGCAACATTTCTTACCTTCCGAAGATAATACTGAAGAGATTCAAAGAGATGATGTCGACACTGAAAGGAGGAGAAGAAGACGAAAAAAAGAGGGTGACGTTGGTTCAGCGGGCGATGGAAATTTAATAAATACTAAAACTGATAGTGGTCATATTATAGACGATAATAAACCTAGACGGGTGCCGCGACAGTTACCTTTACAGTCGATAGAACAACCTCGACCTTGGCCCAGTGCTGAGCACAGAGGCAGTGGTTCTATGCAAGTTAGAAATAAAAATTCGCAAGTACCAGTGAACAGTAACGCACAGGACTATTGTGGTATAACTGAATCTAGTTCAATGCAAGTGACTCAAAATGGTTTTCACTGGGAGATGGAATGTATGTCCAGTACCAGCATTGAAAAAGTGGAAATGGCTATGGCTCGTACCGCCATGTGGTCAGAACAATGGCAACCACCACCTGATGACGTTCAACCTTGCTCTAGCAAAACTATTGACCCTTACGGCTTTGCCTAATTGAATTTGGCAATGTATAAATGTACCTTCACAAATATAGGACTTATTACAATGGATGACTTTTGGGAACAGTTATACAATGCAGAAGCTTCCCCTAAAACAATAATTTTACTTTTTCACATAATATTTTCTTTTTTCTTAAGATAAAACTGGAAGGAAAATGCTTTATTATTTCGTAAAGAAAAGGAATACTGAAACGAATTTTACTAAATTGGATGTGTTAACAATTTTTTTTTTATATATAAAATTGCACCAATATTAACAGTAATGCACAGTGATCGCGAAAAACTTTGTGTCCCAGTTTTTCTCATCTTTGACATTTATCGTATTATCTCCCTTTGCATAAAAATATAATTTGAAATTAAGCCATCGATTAGTTACTTAATCGCGTATATGTTTAAACCCGCCATTGTACTGGACAAGAAAGCAAAACGGTCACATCGAAATTATTGCTGCCATGAATAGTATGCTGCCAAGATAATTCTTTGTCTTTAATTGTTTAGATGTTGACGTTTTGCATCATGAAAACAAATTTCTGAATGTTCACATACAAACGATGTTATTTCATTCCATTTATATATAATATGATATATCTATATAAGTTTTAAGACCACTACCATGTATACATTGAAACGTTTGTTTACTAATTACTTTTACTGCCAACTGGTATGATTAATTAGTAAGCAGGAATTATGTTATTCCGATTAATCTCTTATAATGAAATATTATATGATCATTAAGATGTTACTATTATTGCATAAAGGTGGACCTGATAT